TATATATATATATATATATATATATATCGGTTCTTTGTTGTTCTCTGTCGGTTGTTTTCATCGTTTTTCTTCGTCTCTGTTGCCAAATGCTCTCCTCTATCTCGGCTAATTCCCGTTGCCCCCACAACTCCTGCCCGTCTATCACGGTACCTCGTTGCTGCTGCTGCTGTGAGCTGCAGCCTGAGAGGCTGAAGGCATTGCAGAGGCGCAACAAACGGCTGGATAATGCCTCTCCTTCGGAGACCAGCTGCAGCAACAGCAGCAGCAGCATACCCCCAACGGGCAGTAGGAGTTGCAGCCCTTCAGCAGCTGGTGCACCTGCAAAGCAAGTGAAGATATACCCCGCCCCAACTTTGCAGACTGTCCACCGCAAGGCTCCAATAAAAACACCCAAACACGAACAGCAGCAGCAACAACAACAACATCAGCACCAGCCCCGTGTATCCCGTCAGCCGCAGACACGCAGAGCCCGCGGCAAGTGAAGGGCGTCACCAGAAAGGTGTAGGGTGTCCTGTGGCTTCAACCTGTCTCCCCTTCTCAGACTGGCAGCCTCTATATCTCTGTCTCTCCATATCTGCCTGTCGTGCTGTTAGTCTTTCGTTATCTGTGTCTCTGTTGGTCTCTCTGTATACAGCTCTGAAGTTGCCTCCTGCATTTTTCTGCTTTTAGTTGCCTTCCGCGACTACGCACAATCTTCTACTCAGCAGAAGCAGTAGGCGGAACAGCAACAACATCAGCAGATACTGCAACAGCACCAACATGCGAAACACTAGCACGGCAACAACAACACGCGCGACCGGTGGCAGCAGCAGCATAGCAGATGCAGCCGCGTGGGCAGCAGAAGCAGCAGCGGCAGCATTAGGTAAACCAGCAGCAGTAGCAGCGGTGGGTAAACCAACAGCACCAATATCTTGTGTGGTATCAAATGATACTTAGAGGAGGGAGCGGAGCCCTAAGCTGTTGAAAGCAAACTGAAGCCAGAGAGGAAATCTACTGGAGAAGACGTGTGCTGCTGCAGGCACACAGAAGGGCAGCAGCACGTCGTACACTTCCTGCTGCAACTGCTTCACCAGTTGCTCGTCGCGAGTCCGCAACAGACACAGCAGCTCCAAGTCGCGTACACTCGAACGCACACTTAAGTTTGAGCTGCCTAATAAACTCATTGCAGCCCAAATCTTCCTGCTGCAGACGCAGTTGCTGCTGCAGCTGCTATTGCTGGCAGGGTTTCTTGTGAGGCTGTTGTGCAGCAACTCACGAGTGCTGTGCAAAATGGGAGTAGTTACGCATGCGCCACCATCACTCTCGCTGCTGCTGTTGGTGTTGCTGGTGTTGCTGCTGCTTGTGCTTCCAAACAGCCAAATGCCCTTTGCATGGTAAGTCCAGCCGGGGCGCGCAAACTCAAGCAGCAGCAAATTATCGTCTGCGTGCTGCTGTTGCTGGCGTTGCTGTCCAATGCAACGAACGGCCCTCTTAACTCCGGCCGTAGCTGTAGCAGGAGGAGCAGTCTGGGCTGCTGCAGGTGCTGCTTTCCACGCTGCAGCGGAGGCTTGTAGGGCCAGAGAAGCTTCATGCGCAGCAACGCTGTAGGCAGCAGGAATATAAAAGGAAGGGCCCTTCGATTTAAAAAAGCTGTTCGCCTCTGGCGAGGCAGTTATGACCAGCAAACGAGAATCCCTCCTCCGGACCCTGCTGCTGCTGCATGTGCTGCCGCTGCTGCTAGGAGGTAGGGGAGCAGAAGATGCACATGCTCCGCGCATCTGCTGCAGTAGATTCTGCAGCTGCTGCAGGAATGCGTCAGGAAAGTTGAGATATGGAGAGGCAACAACGACGTGCAGGCCCCCAGGGGCTGCTACGATGTCGCCTGGTGCTGCTGGTGAAGTTCCGGCCGCTGTACCCTCTCCTGCAGCAGCAGCAGCTACAGAGTCAGCAGCAATTGCACAAAGCCGTTCCAAAAGCACGTCTTGGCCTCTCATTGGGGGGCAAGCAAACCCGGCCTGCACAGACAGAGTCACCAGGCACAACTCAGAGCTGCTACTGGTGGTTGTTTGGTTGCTGACGCTGCTGGTTATGTGGCTGTTATTCTTGCTGTTGCCGGCTTTGCTGTTGATTCCGAGGGTCCTGTTGCTGCATTTGCCGTTGTTGCCGCATTCGCCGTTGTTGCTGCTACTGTTGCTGCAGTTTCTGCTGTTGCTGGTACTGCTTTTGATTGCGTCAGCAAGTGCTTGAGACAGACTCCTGCAGAACTGCTGCGGGTTTACTGATGGCGGCTCGGAAGGATTTGTCTCTGGCCAATAGCAAAGGGCGCCCCCCAAAGTAATTGTAGACCTGTGTTCCTGCTGCTGCTGGTTTTGCTGTTGCTGCTGCGGCGGTGGGTTGGTACACAGCCTGAAGGAGTGCGCCTCTACAGCAGCAAGAATGCGGTCCGCCGCGTCTGCAAGGTGTCTGCAGCGCACCAATAAGCATCGGTCTGTTCTGTTGCTAAAGTAGTTTCCGCTGCAGTTGGCGCCTGTTAGCAGCAGCAGGTCGTCGCTGACAATACACTTCATATGCTGCGTTCCCAACGCCTCTTGCGCCCGGTGACCCAACACACGCAGCACCAACCCCTGCAAAAAACCCCACAATCTACCGCTCCTGCTGCTGCTGTGGGTGGAGGGGTTGCTGCAGGTTAGCGGGTTGCAGAAGAGAGAGACGCGGCAGCTGCTGCCTCGAGGCTGCTTCCACTGCTGCTTGTGATGCTGCTCAGAAGCTAACAGCGGCTGCAGCAGCCTTGCAGAACTCTCCCCTGATGCGCCTTCTGGCCGCGTCGTGCGAAGCAGATCCAGCAGCAGACGCACCTGCAGCTGGTGTTGTTGTCGCTGCTGCTGCTGCACAAGCTGTAACAAATGCCTTTCTTTAGGTCCTGTCCCCACATACAGAGCTGAGAACAACAGCCGCCGCTGCGCTGAAGAGATAAGCTCCAAGACGGCAGAGTATAGCGCTTCAGGCCCCCGCACGACGCTGATGCAGCGAGGAGGCACAGCAAAACATACCTCTCCTGCTGCTGCTGTTGCTGCTGTTGCCCCCGCTGCTGAACCTCCTGCTAATCCAGGTGATGCTGCTGCTATTGATGGAGTCTTCGGAGCTTTTGTTGAGCCAGAGGAATACAACATGCCGCCGCTGTAGAAACAACGCGAGGCTGCAAAGCCACAATTGCCACCACCGTAAACAATTGTAGAAGCAGTACCAGCGCAAGCAACCCGGAAGGCATATCTGGGGTCCCCTCTGGAAGAACGCACTGCTGCTGCTCCCGCTGCTGCTTTCGCTGCTACTACGTGCGCTGCTGTTGCTGGTGGTGGAATGCACCACCACCGGCTGCAAGACAGAGTAGCCAGCGCTGTCGCAGCATTTCGAAGCGCATTTCCTGCAAAGGGCATATGAATGCTGTTGATCCTTTTTGCTACTCCTGCATCTGCTGCCGCTGATCTCGGATGCCGTTGTTGCTGTTGATCATGGGTGCTGTTATTGCTGGTGACCTGGGATTATGCTGCAGGTGTTTGCGTTTTCCGTTGCTGCAGCTGCTGCTGGTGCATTCGGCTGCTGCTGCTGCTGCTGCTGCGGAGCGGACCAGCATCCAGCAAGCGTCCTGAGAACCTTTGCAGGTTTGTGTATAAGGAAAGGGCCTGCAAGAGCCGCCGCCGCAGCAGTGGGCGCTCCTACAGCAGCAGCAACACAGCAGGATTTCCCAAGTAAGTCCTGCTGTGAGTGGCGCAAGTCGAAGGTTCTTTGTAAAACGTCAAACTTCTTATTTAAGCCCATTTGATACCAAGATCCTTCACCCACTGCATGCAACCCTCCGCAGCACCGCAATCGGGGGGCCCGTGGGGCCCCAGGGCCCCCATTAGATTGCAGCTGAGGGGACGAAAAACCGCAGGCTTATTTGCTGCCAGAACCGGAAACAGGCACTTTTAAGCAGCAGTGGCAATGGGAAGAGCCTGTAAAGTTAAAGGCGCCCAGCCGCAGGAACAGCAGCAGCAGTCGCATCACCCCGGTGGAAGGCGAGAAAAGGACTAGGCACGCTGCTGCCCAAGGCCGTTCGCCTTGCTCTTCTTGCTGCTGCTCTTCCACACTAATTCTTATGGAAATATCACTTTGCAACTGGGGGCTGCTTCTACATGTGCAGGACACAGCCAAATTGGCGGCGTCGGCGGCGGCTGCAGCAGTAGCAGCTGCAACAGCATAGTAAAATGCAGAAACAACAGCACAGGTTACTTCAGTAACGCCGCCGCATCTGCTTGCAGCAGCAGCCATTCTAACGGCCTCCGCAGCCTCCGCAGCCGCAGGAGGAGACCGTGAACGGAAGCAGCACTGGTGAATGCACCCTGCACTGATTTGCAATGTCACTGCCTCATGACCCTACGCAGCAGCTGCTGCAGCAGGAGGAGCAGCAGAAGCAGGCGGAACAGCAGCAGCAGGAGATTTGCTGCTCTCGGTTTGAACCGGTGACTGTTCTTGGGAGAGAGGGCGTTATTGTGTTGACTGCCAAGCGCCTGCTCTTCGCTTCGAACAGCAGGAGCAAAAGCAGCAACGGCAACAGCAACAACAGTGGCATCAGCAGCAACGAAGTTGGTAATACCAGCAATTGCTGGGAAGTACTGCTGCAATTCGCCCTCGCCTCGTGGACTTCAACCGAACGCTCAAAAAAGGCTGCAAAGGTGTGACCCCTTGGTGCTTCTGCGTCTTGATCTTCCTATGCAGCGGATGCTTCTTCTGCTGCCGCCTCTGCTTCTTCTGCTGCTGCTGCTGATGCTGCTTCGGTGTGTGGCTTAATAGCATGGGTGGTTGCACGAGCAGCCGCAGTCGCCACACCATATGTTATCTCGATCTGTTGCTTTGCAGGCGCGCATGACCTACGTAGCTCCTGCAGCAGCTGCAACAGCAGCAGCAGCAGATGGTGGTTTGTCTACGCAATCTGTAGTTGTTGACTTCATGGGCCTGAGAGACAAAATGGATTTGTGCTGCCGTTCCCTTCAGACACTCGCCTCTGCTGCACGTACACTCCAGGGCAGCAGCAGCCTCGTAAGGCAGCAGTTCGGTTGAAGCAGCAGCTTCTGATTCTGCTGCTAGTGCTTCTTTTCTTAGCTGCGTGTTTCATCAAGTTGTGAGGAGTAGTGCTATGAGATTGGTGTTGTCTCCCTGCCCAATGCTGTTTCTCTTCTGCTTGCCGCTGTTGGTATTGCAGGTGTGCCCGCTGGATGTGCCGCTGCTGCTGCAGCTGCTTCAGCTGCCTTCCGGCACTCCCCTGCGCGTTGCGCCTGCTCTGCAACAGCAGCAAGACCTGCTAAAGAAGCAGCTGAAGCAGCAGCAACAAGAGCAGCAGCAGGACCAGAGGGAGCAACAAGCGAAGGGGGGCTCAACAGCAAGCGGGACAGATGTCACACCAGCGGCAGGAGCTCCTGCCAAACAGCAGCATCAGCAGCACAAGCAACCGCAGCAAAATCCTGCAGGAGCCCCACAGCGCGCTGCTGGCCAGAAGGCAGCAGCAGCAACAACAGCAGCAGGAGCAGCAGCAGCTGGTGCAACAGGAGCATGCGAAAGCGGCTTAAGGTGAGGGCTCTTCTGAGGCTGCCTCGACACCAATGTTTCAGGAGCAGGGGCGCTTGAACGCGAGTTTCTGGTGTAATCGCTGTTGCGGTTGCTGCTGCCGTTGCTGCTGTTTGCTTCTTCTGCGCAGCTCAGTTGCAGCTGCAGGAGCAGCTGCTGCTCCCGAGGTGCCCAGCCTGGAGAAGCTGCTGCAGCAGCAACGATACCAAGAAGCTGAGCAGCTGCAGCAGTTTCAGCAGCGGCTGCTGCAGCAAGACCCCGAGCTGCTGGCTCTATACCAAACCCTCGTGGGTGCCCCAGAAGGCGTACCAGGCAGCAGCAACGGCAGCAGCAGCAACAACAACAAAGGCCTATCTCCTGCCGAGTTCTGGAAGCTGCATCAGCAACAGCTGCAGGCGCTAAAGCCGCAACTAGCTCGTAAGCTCTTTACCCCAAAATCTAAAATATAAACCCTCAACAGATTCGTGCGCAGGTCCCTTTTGGTAGGGGGGAAATGAGGGGGATTGTGAGAGCGCCGAAGTACTGCTCTGGAGGGATGCGCCTATGCTTGGTGTCATTTTGCATTTTCTGCTGTTGCTGCTACTGTTGCTGCTGTTTACGTTGCCGCTTTTGCCGGTGCTACTGCTGCTGCTGTTATTGCTTCTGGTGCTTGTGCCCCTGCAGCGGAAGGTGTCAGCGCTTGTTTTCTTTTGAGGCCGCCACAGTTCCACGAGTTGCAGGGGCAGCAGGGAGGCGCCGGGGGGGGAGGGGAGGCGGAGTTAGTGGTTGACTGCAGCGAGCAGATGCTGCAGCAGATCTTAAATGAGAACTCTGCCGTCCAACGCGCGTACACTTCGCTCGTCGACACAGGCACGCTAATGCGTTGTTGCGGTTGGTATCGTTGCTGTAGCTGCACGTACGGCTATTGCGGCGGGCCTGGGGCCCTTGCAAGCTGCCATTGGTGCTGTTGCTGCTGTTGAAGCATGGCACAGCAACCTTGCGGGCGCCGTTGCTGCTTCCACGGCCCCACAGTCTGCATCTGCACCAGCAGGAGCAGCAACAGCACCAGCAACAGGAGCAGCAGCTCCTTCAGTAGCTTGGGGGTTGGTGAGCGTCACCCGGTGCGTTTTGCTGCTGCTGTTGTTGTTTCTGTTGCCGTTTAGGCCGCATGAGTGCAGACCGGTTTTGGGGGCGACTGTTTCGGTCTCGTTATTTCCAGTGTGGTATTGGACTATCCGAAAGAAAACGAGACGCAGGCACCGCAGAGCCCTCTTGCTTCATCGCCTCCTTCGTGAAAGAGAAGGTGCTTCTGCTGCTGCGGCGGCTGTTGCTGCTTCTGCTGCTGCCCGGTTGGCACTGGTGGCTATTATTGCCAATATATACCTAGGAGTAGCTAACGCGTTGTTGCTGCTTCCTTCGGGGCTCCAGTGCTGGTGAAGGGACTGCAGAGGCCGCAGCAGAAGGCTCCCCTCGGTAGCAGCAGCAGCGATGTGTAGCGGCGGTTGCTACTCTGCCTTTGTCGAGTCTGTACACTCAATTGATGCTACTTCTCTGGCGCATCCCGCTGCGCGTATTGCTGTTGCTGCTGCTGTCATGCCCTTTGCATTTGTTGCACGCCGGAAGGTTCGGGTTTCTTATGTGTGTAGCTCTCTGCTTGCAGCAGTGCGTGTTGTTGTTGCTGCTATTGCTGCAGCCGGTGAGCTCGCGAGAGGCGCTCTGTCTGCCCGGCATCGAGCGCACCCTCTTGTCGGACGCCGACCTGCGGGTGCGCGGCTTCGGCTTGCCCGATGGACTATCTTCACTTGCAGGAGACTTGGCGGAGAAACCCCCACCTGCTGCTGTTGTTGCTGCTGCGGCGGCGGCGTCAGCTGGTCCGGAGGCCGAAGCAGAAGCCGCGGCTGCAGCCAGCAGCAGCAGCAGCCTCGTTGGACGTTTTAACAAACACTCCCAACGTCTGCTGCTGCAGCAGCTGCTGCAGCCTGCTGCTGCAGCAGCAGCCATCAATGATGAGGCAGGGCACGAACAAAAGTTGCATTTGCTGCTACAGCAGGAGGAGCATCAAAGGAAGCGACGGAGTGTACGGCCAGAGCCTGCTGGTGCAGTCCTACAAGCAAATCTCAAAGACGCTGCAACTAGTAAACACTAAACCCTAAACTATAACGGTTCACTTCAGTCACCCAGGCAGTTGGCCTCTCTCTCGCTGCTTCCTTCTTCTTGGACCCCCTCTTAGTGTGTGCGCACTGCTGGTGTTGCTGTTGATTCTGCTGCTGCTAATGCTGTTGGCTGTGCTGCGGCTGCTGCTACGGTGTTGTGTCTGTACAGTTGGCTGCGGCGTTTTGGAGGAGGAGGCGCCGGTGCTGGAGTCTTTGCGCCTCGAGGAGCTCGAGGTAATTCGATATTTAGGCTTTAGGTTTTAACTTTAAGGCTTGGCTTTTAGGGTTTTGTTCTGAGCGGCTAGAGCTTAGGTTCCCACGATTCGAGCGCAGGGAAAGGCAGAAGGATGGAGCAGGCTGGACAAACGAGGTAGCTAGAGCTTATTGCTGCTACTGTTTTGCTGCGTTCATTGCTTCAGCTGCCGCTGTCAATGCACATGTTGCTGTCACTGCTTCCGCTGCTGCAGGAAGCCGCCCCTGCTAAGTACCAAACTCTCGAGGTGAGCCGGCGACAGCTGTATGCGGCGGGCGCCCGCGTTGGCTGCAAAAGTGTGTCTTCTAACTCGGGGGCAGTCGCTGCTTCCTGTGAAGCCTCAGCGGCAGCAGAGGTCAAAGATTTCCCTGCGCCCGAAGCAGCAACAGCAGTTGCAGCGGCGGCAGCAGGAGCAGCGGAGGAAGCAGAGCGAGTGCAGGAAGCAGTAGAGGCGGAGGCGGCAGACTCTTGGCTGTTGATGGAGAGGCAGCGAACAGCAGAACGAAGTAAAGGGTCTCCTCAGACGGTAGGGGGGGAGCTGGAGAGGGCCGCACGACCCTAAACCTTGAACCCCCTCAGCGCTACACCATAGGTCGCCCTGTGCAGAACCTCACCTCTTAAGTATCCGCTTGATGCTGGGTGCCACAGGCGTGTGCTTCCCTGGAGGGTTGAGGTGTGGGTACAGGCAGAAGATGCCGCTGCCGTGTTCAACACCGGGCGCTTCATGTTCGTCTTCAACACAAAGTTGTGCCAGAAAGACAAGGCAGCGCAGTTCTCTACTCGTAAGGGGCAGTTGTGTGCTTCGCGTGTTGCCTTTGTTCTTCTTCCTTTACTGCCTCTTTTGGTGTTTCTTTTTGCTAATTCCCGTGGTGCTTCTTTTGCGCCACTGTGCCGCGCGCGTGGGTACCCAGCTCCTTGCTGTTCCTCTTGGGCCAACACTCTGGGTGGCCCGTGTAATTGTTTCCGTCTATGCTACCTGGAAGCAATGAGGGGTAAATAACAATGATAAATAAAGCAAGGGAAAGGAGGGAGAAATTACGAGATAGGAAGAACATGATAGCTGCAGAAGCAACAATCAGAGAAATGACAAATAGCCAAGCACCGTTTCTTTTCCCCAGCCGGTCACAACTTTTTCTGCTTCCTGACTTCATATTCGTCTTTGCCTCGCTCCACTTTCCTTTCTTTTCCTCTTTCCAAGCCTTTTTACGTGACCCTATCTTTTTCTGTTCTTGCTGCTGCACCTGCCTTGTCTGAGTGTCTTGCCGGCACTTGGACATGTACACATTGCATGCATAATACAGATATGCAGGAGATGTACATTTGCATAACTATGCATGTGTATATATAAGTATATGTCTATGTCTATCCCTGTGTCTATGCCTATTTAGGTGTATATGCATATGTGAGTATATATATATATATTAT